GCCATCACTAAGGTTGGTGGATGAGGTGATGATATCAGTTGCACAGGACAATCTAGAGAAGAAAAGCAGCAAAAGGATGATGATAATAAACATTGAAAATCGAATGTCCATTGTTTAGTTGTTCTGAAGGTTTTCAAAAATAAAAAAATAAAGGTAAATTAAAGGGATTTTTAATTAAGGGATCAAAACTCAATTAAAATAATATCTTTTGTGATTTAGTGGCTCTTTTAATTATGAGTTTCTACTTTCATTCAAACTAAGATAACTTATTTTACATGTTAAATTTTATAAGTTATTTAGTAGGTGTATCAAATTAAATACTTTAACAATAATCAAGATTCAAACCATGATGCTATTGTATTACAATTCCCCACCTCCTACCCCGAATTGTAACTGTTAAAAAAATTTACCCTTATTTACTGTCACTGTAAAGACTTTTCTCTCTCTTCCTTCTCCGTTTGCCTTATTTACTCTTCTATTTCCCACTTTAAAATCATCTTACATAATCCTACATTTTACCTCTCCAACTTCCTCACTGTTTCCCTATTGAAATCAATCTCTCACAATAATAGATCAAAGGGAACAACGAAAGATTGAAGAACGCGCTAGAACTGAAGAACCCCAGTTCAAATCTTCCATCGCTAGAAACCAAGGTTCTATCATCACTAAGATTGGTGGATGAGGTGATGATATCAATTCCACATGAGAATGTAGAAAAGAAAAGCGGTAAGAGGATGATGATAATAAACATTAAAAATCCAATGTCCATTGTTTTGCAAGTTTTCACGAAAAAAAAAAATATAAAATCTTTGTGACGGCTTTAGAAGAACACAAGTCTTGAATGTCGACTAGTGTGCAAGTCCTCCAATTTCTGACAAAAGCTCACTTTCTTGCAAGTCCCAATTACCTGGAAAAATACAGTTGTTAGGCTTTAATTATAGGAATTAATATTAGCTAAAGAAGACAAATCAAAAGCAGTATAAATCAAAGACTTAACAAGTCAAGATCAATATGAATTGCAATGACTTGTAACAGAAAAATGCCTTGTGGAATAGGTTCTTTGACTTGTATGCATTCTTGGCTTCTTCACGCAAAAACAAATTGTGGTTACCTCATAATCAGGTAAATGTATTTTTGACTACATGTGAGTTTTACCTGACACCTTAAACTCAAGAAACTAAATTATTAAGGTTATAATCCTCCACATATATATCTCACTTATTATTATCAAATCTTCTTGTCATGGGATTCCATCACAACTTTTCCAAAGTGAACCTTTATGGTGGTAGTTTTTGAACTCAACCTTCATGGTGGTAGTTTAAGAAGGATATACAACAAAATGCACGAAATGTTGACTGAGCACCCTTAAATGACTGATAACAACAGTT